TGCTTCAGTCCATCCAGTCCTGAGATGCACAAAGCTCTGCCCCAGAGCACAGCCCTGGCTTGAAAGGCAGGAGACCTACTTTTTTTTTCTGCTGCAGTTAAGTAACACTTACAGGTCTTTTCCTCTTCCCAGCCTGTGACTGGACAGTGAAAGGAGAAGCAGCAGACTAACCGCCTATCTTGCTGTCATTGTGCTCTCCTCCTATTAGTATGTTCTTTTTTTTACTGCAGCACAACTGATTAGCTCCTTGTGCTGCTTCTTCCTCTACAAGTCTGAGCTCTGCTGAACGAGGCGGATAGCAAGTCAAATTCAGGCACTGCTTGCATAAAAAAAAAAAAAAATTGATGATGGGTTAATGATTAGAGAGCTGCTAGATTTCAGCTTTAACCTTGGAGTCAGGGAAGTCGGGCCCCATATTGAAATTTAATCAGACGCAGAAAAGGGATTTATGGCTAACACATGTGTTAGCGGGTTTCTTGTTCTCTCTGACCTTAGGTAGGGCTTTTATTTTTAAATGTTAAATGAGTACAGATCACTTTAAGAACTGGCTCTAAATAGAGATGAATGATATTTGGACACTTGGAACTTAAGGTTGAACCCTGTCCACCTAAAATGCCAAATATACTGGTTACAGGTTAGTAACCCCCCTGTGCCATCATATAAAACAGATACTAATTTCTAACCCTCCCGATTTCTTGCTCCGCTGATGCAATAATTTGCACTGCTCACCTGATGCAATAATTTGCACTCCATAATGGAACAATTTTCACACGATCAAGCCTGTCAGTAATCTTTCAATGTGTGGTCCCCCTCCTCTAGATCTGCATATCTGTCAATGTCACCCACAGATATGCTATAAAAGCAGGCATGACATTTACTGCCTTGCATAATGATACTTTAGTGTTCCTGCAGATAACTCTGAAGCTGATTGATAAAGGGACATTTATTTAGCGTGCTGACAGACCCTTTAGCGATTCCACTGTATTGATGCAGAAAGCCTCTCCTAAATCAGACTTTTGGTTTAATCCGAACCCCCTGGCAGCACAATAGCATCACAAAGATATGTGACGGGATAACAGAATTCTATTATCTACACGGTTTGTGAAGTGATCCTGTACAATATGAAGGCTGGCAGGATCTCCCTGCTGAGCTTATTGGCTCATGAAAAGGTGGCATGAGCAGCAATAGCCTCTGCAGCAAGGGGAAGCATTTGTCATTTAAAATATACTGTTGTAATAACATCAGAAATAGTGCCTAATAAATCTACCTTGCCTATGTCTCATATATATTGTATGTAAAACGGTTTTGCATACACAGCAGAGCTGCAATAAAAGTTACAGGAGAGGGAGCCATATTCATTAGATACAATGTCTATGCAAATATTTATATATGTTGTACTTGCATACATAGAACTATGCATGCTCTATATTGTAGTTTAAAAATATTGCTGCATGCAGTAAATTCGTTATTTAATTGCAATCAGAAACATAAAAACGTCACAGGGTCCCAATGCAAGATGAGAAAAGGCTTCAAATCTCAATAAAATTTTGTGGTTCTGTTCAGACCCTAAAGTGTATCTAAACCAAAAACAAAAATGTAATATAGTACAGATTACTAGTCTTTAGATGTGGTTACCTTTTTCAGGCTATTTTTTCTTCCTCCTCTTAATAACACACTTTTTGGCCCTTGGTAGCTACACTTAAGCTGGCTATAAATGGTTCAGCAGAAACCAGGCGAGATTTGTACCATGTATGGGCAGGCTGAATGTGCCCAAGTTGATTGAATGATCAACTTGGGTACAACCAGCCTGCTGGATTTTACATAGTGATTATTGCCAGCTGCTAAAACAGCCACCAACAATAATCGTGTGTTTGCCCAGTGGGGACCCCACCAAGAAAGTACAATTTCTACGCAGGAGGGATTCCCCTGGTAACCCGTGGTTGCAGGAAAGAAATGTGCTCTGTCTATGGCCAGCCTTATTCCTTCACTGTATCTGTGGTCAGCTATGGTTGTTACTGGACTACAAATACTTACCTTGCCTTTGTTCATTGGGGAAGGGTAAATTAGTAATTTACAGAAGAAAGATATGATTGTTTTTGCTTTAAATGCACCTTGCAGGAAGTAACAAGGCCACTGCATTTTTGACAAAATCAATAATTATTTTCTGTGCTTGTTTTAAATGTATTCGCCTGATGTAAGTGATAAACAAATGCAGCCATCATATCTAAGTATTGGTAAGCTTCAATATATTACATTTTTTGTTCTTGGGTTTGGCTACCCTTTAACAGGAAGCTCTTAGGATAAAAATATGTAGGGTGTCATTTCTTTATTCAGCGGGTGATAGGTCACTTGAAGTCTGCTGGTTGCTGGCCTCTCTAATGCCTGACCTCAGACACTATATTTCCCTTCTACTGCAATGTGTGTGCGGTCAGGCAGCTGACAGGCAACAACTGTGATACTTTAATTGCCCTTGAACCTGCTGACACTCAGCTAAAGAGTCAGGCTCAGAGCAATTAAGTAAAGCTAAAGAAGGGAGAAATGTACATTTTTAACAGGTAAGTCTGCACAGTTCCGTATTTTAAAACTGTAGACTTCGATTTCTGCAAAAGCTCAGTCATGGCTTGTTGACTGGTTCTTTTCAAAAGTCTTGGGTTTTTATAGATTTCAACAGGTCCAACCACCCACCAGTATTTTATGTGTTATTGTCAGCATACATTGGTGCACCCACCTGTCTTGGGCACTACATGGGGGTTTTATTTGGGAGAGCATATATAAAGAGATTTCCCCTGGATAAGACTCCATGGCAGGGTGGGTAGAGGTAGAAAGGAAGTCTTGCAGTGTAGTTCTTATGACATTAGGAAGCCAGTGAATGATTAAGCCATTCGGAGTCCTCCCATAACAAATATTTGGATGGACATCCCATAAAAATGGAGTATTATTGATTATTTGTAAACTAAACATGCAAAACAAAGGAAAACACAGTTCTGCTTTGTTTCCTTGATCCTGTCATGTCAAGTAATTGTTAAGCTGGCCAAACACTAGTTAGAGTTTCTGTACAAAGTTCATATGATCATTCATGTGAAAATTCTATAAAGTACATTTGATCACTTGATGAATGTCATTCGAAAGTACAAAGTTTGCTTTTAACATTCGGTTTTGGTGTGAATGGGCTTTCCCAAATAAAAACCACATAAGTATTATGTAACACTACCCCCTTAGGGATTGCTGATGAACATGGGTCCCCCCTATAGTCCTGCGCAGCCAGTCATTCAGTTTTTTTCACACAAGCTTTCATCTGGAGACAGAAACCAATCCTTGAGCATTGATTTTATTTTATTGAGGGGATTAGAACTTGGATAGGGTAACTGGAGTATAGGATGCCCAAGGCAACCAAAATCTGAGGACAACTTTCTGAACTATTCACATCTTCTCTTCTCTGATGCAGTCTCTGTTGGGAGTGCTAGCCAGCAGCGTCTAGTTGTACCACCCTAGACCCCAGATGAACTGCTCTCCACTCTTAGTAGAGGGCTAATCTGGTTTCCCACCAGAGTGCTCCTTCCCCTATATGCCCACGGGGTGCAGGTGTACTCACTCAGATCCTCTCCTGTACCACTTGCGGGATGGCTGCTGCTACCAGTCCTATCAGCTGGGCTGCCTCTCCCCCTGCCATACAGGTGGTCCTTGCTCAGGGGATCAGTGAGTCCCGAGTTTTTCTCCTCTCCGACTCCAGTCTCGCAGGCAGGCCTCATCCCACTAGGCCTCCTGGCAGCCTTCCTCCTCCAACCTCACATCTTCCTACTCCTTCCACTCGACTCCTCACCACCTCCCACTACAACACTCACACTTCTGTTACTGAGCAGGCTCTTACACTTTTAAGGAAGTCCCAGCCCCCTACCAAACCTTCTGTTGGGGATTGGCTGAGGTCCCTCAAGAGTGCAGCCAGCAACCCCTCAGATGCACCCATTGACTTTGAGGTCCTTCTCTGAAAACCTCAGAGCAGGGGGAATTTCCAAAGGGGATGCAGAGTCTTTCAGCACTGGCCACAATTTGACCCCTCTGGCTATTACACCTGAGCTGCTAACAGCGCCTGTCTAACCATTAGGCTCTAGCTTCACAGTGAGAAATGTGTTAGGGTGCTAAAGTTCGAAATGTGTTTCTTCAACAAAAATTCTCCATCCCGCTCTTTCTAAAGTTTTTGTTACTGTGGTTGAAAATTAATGTTTATTTAACCCCATTAATGAAAATAAATGAGCGAATGTGAAAAAAACAAAAACAAACATTTTCAAATGGAAAATGTAGTACTAGTATGTACTAGTATGTGGCCAGCTTAAAGGATAAGTTCACCTGTCATAACATGTTACATTCATGTTCAGGGTGTAACATGTTACAAAAGGACTGGCCCCTGCTCCCCCCGATCCCCTGTTTTGACAGCTAGCAGGGGATCTTCTACTCCCACTAGCTGTCATAATTTTTAAAAAAATTGTGGCAGTGTGGGGCTTCATCTGCCTGGGTGTGTCGCTAATTCAAAGTATTCTGTGAATGATAAAAGTCCCGGCAGCCTTTGTGGCTGTCAGGTTGTAGTTCTCGATGAACAACCATGGCGCTGTTGAGCGCTCTGGTAGTTCATTGATTCTTCCTGTCAGTGTGTATCTGCTTAACCACTAGCCTACAGGGCACTTATACCCCCTTCCTGCCCAGGCCAATTTCCAGCTTTCAGCGCTGTCACACTTTGAATGACAATTGCGCGGTCATGCAACACTGTACCCATATGAAATTTTTATCATTTTTTTGTGACAGAGCTTTATTTTGGTGGTATTTAATCACCTCTGGGATTTGTATTTTTTCTTAAACCAAAAACTACTGAAAATTTTGAAAAAAAAAGTGTTTTCTTAGTTTTTGTTATACAATTTTGTAAATATGTGATTTTTCTCCTTCACTGATGTGCGCTGATGAGGCTGCAGTGATGGGCACTGATAGGCTGCACTGGTGGCACTGATGGGCACTGATGAGGAGGCACTGGTAGGTTGCACTGATGGGCATTGACAGGCATCACTGATGGGCACTGAAAGGCAGCACTGATAGGCAGCACTGATACATGGCACTGTTAGGCGGCACTGACTGGCACTGTTAGGCGGCACTGACTGGCACTGTTAGGTGGCACTGACTGGCACTGTTAGGTGGCACTGACTGGCACTGTTAGGCGGCACTGACTGGCACTGATGCGCACTGATAGACGATACTGGCACTGATAAGTGGCACTGATTGGCAACACTGATAGTGGCACTGATTGGCATTGATAGGTGGCACTGATGGGTGACATTGAAAGGCAGCTCAGATGGGCACTGATATGTGGCATTGATGTGCACTGGTATGCACTGATATGTGGCATTGATGTGGCACTGATGGGCACTGGCACATGGCACTGATGAGCACTGACAGGTGGCACTTCTGGGGCCACACTGATCATCAGGGCACACTGATCATCAGTGCCCTGATGATCAGTGTACATGTCCCCTCCGCGGAAAGCTGATTACCAGCTCTCCTCTTCTCTCGATCTGTCAGCGTGACAGCTGGAGAGGAGACAAATGCCGATAACCGGCATTTCCGTGTTTACATGTGATCAGCTGTGATTGGACACAGCTGATCACATGACCGAGCCGACATCTTCGGCTCTTTCCGTGATCCGCTGTGTCCGAGACAGCGCACCGGTGATCGCTGCGCTGCGCGCTCCCTGAGCCGCGCATGCGCAGTGAGAATAGTAGGACGTCATATGACGTCCTATCAAAACGAGAGAACCACCTTGCACCCGTCATTGTACTATATGGCGGGCGGAAGGTGGTTAAACATATGAGGGTATGTGTACGCAGATACACTGACAGATCTGCAGGAGTCCTGTATGGCTTCAGCAATCTGCTGATCGCTGGTGAAATGCTTTCCAGGTTTCCAAAATAAAAAAATAACAAATGCACATTTTTTTTACCTGCAAAAAATTGTACATTTACTATTTTTTGTTAAAAGGTGAACTTCTCCTTTAACTTCTAGTGGCTTGTTCATAAAGGTTCTAGATGGTTAGTCTCGAGACCTTTTTCTTAATTTTCTTTTCACTTTAAAATGTAATATATTTATTAAAATTTGTTGTTTTCCAAATTTCTTGTATTCTGTTCAAATTCACAGAATGTATAAAATGAAATATAAACTTTTTTTAAAAAATGTTTAGATTAATCCACCACTACAACTGAAGCCTACAAAATTATTTTAATACAAGCCTTTCCTCAAATGTTTCATCAGTTTTGCATGATCTGCAAAATTTTACATTTCCAATTCAAAATTTGGATTTTTTTTTTTTTTTTTTTTTACCAGTTTTGGCTTAAATTACTGTAATAAAGCAATTTAATAGTTTGCCTAGTTCACTAATCTAAAGATGACTTTTCTATTGACACACTGGGAAAAGAGTTGGCAAACTCTGTCAGTAAACTCGTAGAACTTTAGATTAGATTTATTGGACATTAGAACTTAAAGCAACCAGTCAAAAACTAGCTTACTGGACACAGCTGATCACATGACCGAGCCGACATTTTCGGCTCTTTCCGTGATCCACTGTGTCCAAGGAACACAGCGCACCAGCGATCGCCGCGCTCCAGCACTAAATAAAGTTATTTTCCAAACCTTTTCAGAGAATAATTTGCTCATCACAGCAGTCAAATTAAACTCAAATATTTTAGTAAAAGTGTTAAAACAAAAATGGGTTTCTTCAGCTTACTAAAAAGGCAGCATGCAAATTGTCCCAGTGGCAAGCATTTAAAGGTAAGACGATTAAAAAAAAAAAAAAAACACATGAAAAGCACAACATAAAAAAAACTCATTAAAAAGCTAGAAACTGCAAGTTTTCAAACACCAAATATTTAGTACATTTGAAAAAAAATCCATTTTATGAAGCTAGTTTAAGAATTCTCATGATGTTGCATTGTGCAGCTTTTTGATCTGCTGTATTTCAATTTCTAAGCATTTCAAATTTACATTTAGAAGCAAAGGCCTACAACCACTAATATCACCATGGAAACCAGGATCTCCGCGGATGGAAAAAAAAAAAATCTCACAATAGCCTTAATTTCAGGCTACACTTTTTCGAATATTGAGAAAAAAATGTTTTTCAAAGTGAAGAAATGAAACAATAACAGATGTTATTTCTTCCAAACTTGTCAGCTTTGCTAGCTGCTTAACCCTCTGTTTACCAAAGCAACCTGTTTCTTTTATTGTATTTTTTTTTTTTTTTTTTTTTAAGTTTTTCTGGGACGGCAGGCCCTTTAGCAATGGAAGGGCTGCATAAATAGGTCAAGCCATGAGGGAAAAGGAAGCAATTACTCTTTCTAAGACAGGATCTATAGATGTGTAAGGACACAGTTATCTGCTGTGTGAAACCTGAATCTGATTGTATCTAATTGTATATTAACGTGTTTCGCTTGTATTGCTCCATATTGGAAGAGAGAGGTGGGTTCAGCTTTGGCCCAGCTGTCACATGGATGACGGCAGTAATTTAAGGTAGCCATTTTGTGTTTGGTGCCATATTGTGAATATCAACATAATGAATATTTGATTTGCCCTTTAGCTTGCTTAATCTTTTGGAGATCCAGGGCTGCTTTTAGATTTATTTGTGCACTACCTATATGTCACTATGGAAGGTCACAAAAAAAAAAAATAGATTTTTGTCTAAAAATGCTGCAGAAATGCACACTTTCCCAGGAGATTGTGAGGGAAAAATCTTGAGTCCCACCGTATGTAATCACCAAAATATTTGCTGCATAATTATTTTCTGATGGAATGGAGTGGAAGACAAACAATTTGCTGTACTGTGATGAAGCCAACTTTTTTTTTATGTTGCAGTATGTGCAAATTGGCTTGCAACCTTTGTGTTTGTTATAGATTTGCTTGCACAAATGGGTGTACTATTCAACTAGTCCTCGCGTCTCAGCCAATATGGTATATTAAGTAGGGGTAATGTTGGTGTTTAGAGTATGGTTGTTGGATTGGGTGATGTTTAGTATTGCCCTAATCACAAAAATCTATACTTTTTGGATGTTTGGTATGGGAAAAGCTCTATTGTGCCCATTTCACCTTTCTATTAATATTTGCTCCCAAAGAGGCCTTACATCAGTGGTTCTCAACCTGTGGGTCGCGACCCCTTTGGGGGTCGAATGACCCTTTAACAGGGGTTGCCTAATACCATTGGAAAACACATATTGCTGCTGTGTAGAAAGCAGCTACTGTGCAGAAAGCAGCTACTGTGCAGAAGCAGAAGTATTGGAGGTAAAACACTTCATGAATGATAATTATAATTGTTTTTGTGATCACTATGCTTTAATTATGTTCAATTTGTAACGATGAAAATACATCCTGCATATCAGATATTTACATTACAATTAAAAATAGTAGCAAAATTACAGTTATGAGGTAGCAACTAAAATATTTTATGGTTGGGGGTCACCACAACATGAGGATCTGTATTAAAGGGTCGCGGCATTAGGAAGGTTGAGAACCACTGCCTTACATTATAGAATTTTGCCATTAATGCCTACTTCCATTCCAGTGCTGGTTTTGTCTTTCCTCGTCACACAATCATATGGGAAAGTCTGCAATCTAAGCTGCATTTAGAAAACTAGTGCCCAAACAACTATTCTTTTAATTGGACTCTTAAACAACGGCATGCTACTTGATGTGTACTGAAAGTATAACTAAAGGCAAATCTTTTTTAGTTTTGGATGGAGTGGAGGGGGATTAGAACACCTGTCAATTTTTTATTGCGGTCTGTGTCCCCATTATGGAGATTCACCCTCTCTGTTTGTCATAACTGTTATAATTGAAAGTGAATGTAAAAGAAAAACCCAAATTTTGCATTGTCCTCAGAAAAGTTTTCTAATGGGGACTCTAGCTCTGGTGACCTGGAGGACCCCAAGGGATTCCATTAATTGGCAGGGATTTCCTCTCACTTCCTGTTTTGGCTATGGGACAGGAAGTGAAGGTGAGTCTTCCCAATGCGACACAGATGGCAAAGAAAAAACTGACAGGGTTATAATCTACCCTTGCGCTATCCAAAATTTTGCCTATACTTCTGCTTGAATTTCTAAATTAGAGCACTCACAGGACTTGGAAATATAATCTCAATTATCCAAGTAGGTTGATTTTTCTTTTCTAGAGTACATATTAACAATAGGAAGATATGAAAGCAGTGTTCGCTTGGATATATGTGCAAATTGCCTTCTTCAAAAGGAAAAAGTAATTTATTTCTCCAAGCAAGTTTACAGTTTAGTGATTTATTGAATACTACAATAAAATTGTTTTTAAACGCCAATGTGTATAAACAGGCCTAAACGCAAGTGAAAAAAACGCAAGATTAGAGGCATATTTTCTGCCAACGTCTGGCAGCAAAAAAGCATTTAAACTCCCAGCTGTGTAAATGAGGCCTAACTACACATATTAGTTTGAAGAATTTCTGTACCTCCGGATAACGATATCCCTTTAACCGGCATTTAAAGCGGCATGAAACTTAAAAATGGAATGTATTGCAGCTTACCAATCCACAGATGTGGTATCTGCATTAGTTTTCTTTTATTTTGGGGGGGGGGGGGGGGTCCTTTATTTCACCAAGTGATTCAGCCAGTAACACACTTCCTGTCTTAGAATGTCTCCACTCCTCTGAATGAGCAACAGAGACAGCACCATTGTCAACCTTGGGGGAGAGTAGTGTTAAAATAAGTAGTAGATTTAGATGGACTTGACTAAAATATTGAAGCTGAATGCTAATAACACTTTATAAGCAGTTACAGCAAAAAAAAATATATATATATATATTTTTTTTGTTTTTTCCTTTTGGGATAAAGGTTTTACACAAATGAATAAAAGCTAACCATTGTAAGCACCCCTTGTCAAATGGTTTGTCTTAACCCTCTAACTGTTACTTTGTCTGGATAGCTTGGTTTGTTAAAGTAAGTTGAAAAATAACAGATTAACTGGCCAGATCACCGGGTGAAAATATAGGACAAATACCAAAAAATAACTGATGCAGCCACTATTGTAAAGTTTTTTTAAAATAACAAACATGTTACACTTGCCGGCTTTGTGCAATGGTTTTGCATAAAGCAACACCGAACCTCCTCTTCTGGGGTCTCCTGCTGACACTCTCTTCTTCTCCGTCTGCCCCCATAGAAAACCACTTGCTATGGGGACAGACATGTGGGCTCAATCTCTATTGACACACACACACACACCCCACTTCCTACTCACAGGATTTGATTGACAGCCAATGGCTCCCGCTGCAGCCCAGTGAGGAGGAAGCAAGCAGCGATGGATTGAGATCGCGTTCAGGTAAGTACTGGGGGGGGGTGGGGGGGAATGGAGGATAGCTGATCATGGAGGGGTTTTTACATGAATGCAGAGCATGCACTAAGTTAAAAAAAAAAACTTCAAGCCTTTACAACCACTTTAATAATTTTTAGGGGGTTTAACACTGCACAAAAAGTAATTTCTTGACAGCTATTTCCATGGCATTCTGGAGGCCTCTCCTCTTTACTTTTTTGTCATTGGCTGTGCCAGTTGTCTATTAGTGGAGAGAGAATAACAAATGATTCGAAAAGGAATTCA